ACCGACCATCCATCCATCCATCCATCCCGACCCCGCTGCCAGCCCCTGCTCCTGCCCCTCTGGGCACCGCAGACGCAGGACGATTACAGACACACTTTCCAGTGGCTCCAACCTCCTACCAGGCTGGTGGGTTTTCCATCTACGTGGAAACATGTGAAAGCACTTCACTTCATGCTTTTTGGCTGGGCAAGCCGGGAGGGGAAATAATTCTATGCTTAGAAAGACTGTGCTGTTTGTATCCGACTACGGTGCTCAGGCAGTGCTGAGGTCTTGGGAAGAGACACCTCCAAGCAAACAGGACTTCACCTTGAGATAGGGAAATGACTGAAAACCGTGCGATTGTAACATCAGTAGCATTTCAGATTTTGCATCCCCATATGTTTTAACAGAATTATTTTCATGGTGAGATATCTGAGTATCTTTTATTCACCTAATACTTTCAGTGTGATCAGCAACTACAAGGAAACAAGAACTATATGAATATTTTGGTTTTACACCCTGAATTTCATAAGGATATTATTAAACGGTAACAGAAGGGTATTAATGGGTTGAGTGAGAACTGCAACATTTCTATGCCTTGAAATTCAATGCTGTGGTTCCCATAGCAACCATAACCATGGCCACTCCGCATGAATTTTACATCTGAGTCGCAGAACACACAGTTCCAAGTGCTCAGCGCACGTAAGCAAAAAGAAACAAGCAAAAGCACTTTTCTTTCCCTCTGCAATAAATATCTTACCTGCTAGGTCACAACTACTACAAGGTGTTAAGGGCACTTGCAGGTGAAGATGAACTCACAACTGGCAATTAATGCCCCGAACACAGCTTCTGTGCGCATGTAGTTATAGGATTCATAGTGTTGGTGTTAACACAGCTTGTTTTCAGTTATTGCTGGAATGAGAGCCCGCTGTTTGTACCAAAGGCTAAAACATTCCTAGAAGGCTAAAAAAACTACCCAGGTAAAGGTGTTTGAAACTCTTTTGCTTCAAATACGATACTATTTCAACTCCAGAAGCATTGGGCGAAGAGACTGTTTCTCCATTGTTTTGCTCATTTTATCCAGCCCCTTTGCTTGGAGGTGGTACCTGGTAGTACGTTAAGAAGACACCAGCAGAAACATGATACACATCGAGTTATACGAGTAAGTTTAAGGCTTCGCTTTTTTCTGCTTAGTTTATCAGAAGTAAGGAGCGCACACGAATGGTTCGTACACCCGTGTTGCATTTCTTGGACTTCTCTCAGCATTTACTGCTGCTGTAACACAGGGCACTGACGGGCTGTTGGTATGATGAACTGTGACTTTAAAAAAATCCTTATTGATTGCATGAGGTTGAGCTTTTATCCAAAACTTACGCATCTTCCTGTTTGATTACAGTTTGTTCTCTGAAGCGATGGAGTAACAGTCAGTAGTGAAATCAATGAAACAATTCACTGCTACCAGAGGGAAAAATTCCAGTCAAAGGTGGAATTTTCACCACCACACATTATAGGAATGTCGGGGGTTTAATTGGAAGCACCAGTGATTTGTAATAATGCGAGCCTATCTTTACAGGAAAGCTCCAGGGCTTTTCTACGAAAACTTAGAAAAGTGATACTATATTGACAGTTGGAAATACAGGAAACTGCAAATCTCTTATGTTTAAAATGAAACATTAATCTACAGTGAGACCAGCTTTCCAAAACTGTATTTAGTATTTCCTAAACATCTGCAATGTGAATTAGAAAACAAAATTTTACATTAGTATGAACCCCTCAAACAGCAGAAATACCATCTACTGCCAAGATATTTCAAGTATTTAACTCCTCAGGTTGCAAAGAACAGACATGGTCTTGGATAGGTGATCACAGACCGCACAGCAAGAAACACCCAGCCACCCTACCCCTGAAATACAGGGAACGACACCAGCTCATAGGTGGCCCCAGCCCATTCCCAGCGAGGTACCCAAGTCCTTTGGGAACCAAAATCAGCAGGTTTTAACTCAAAGTGAAAATACTGCTGCTCCAGACCAGGGCTTAACAGAGAAAATGGTTCTCTGGGTTGGCTGCAATCCTAAATTGCACTCCACAATGTGCTGTATCACACAGCAGCTGTGGGAAAGACCAATTAAAAGTCTCTACACATTATCCCAATAGGCCCACGTGTACCTGAGCTTTTAACTGAATTGGAGAGATCTCTATTTAAATTCCAGATCTGCTACAATCCTTCTGTGACTAGGACTCCTGAACCCCTGACTTCATTTCTTTAACATGTGGATACTAATTTCAGATTATTTTTTTAAAATAATCTATCCTGCAAAAAAATGCTGCAATTAAAAAAATTTGGGACACAGTACCTCACTACATTTGATTTTGAAATCTCACTGTAGTACAAGAGAAAAAGGAGAACCTTGCCCAAATCTGTACTAAAAGTCTATGAACCCATAAAGAATGGTCCAGGTGCTGCAGCTTGAATAAAAGTAGTATGCGAAACACTTCGACCAGCAGGACTAGCTGTT